GAGGCCTCACAGAGCTCAGGGGGCTCATAGGGTACTCATGGGGCTCGCAGGGCTCATAGGCTCATGGGGGTCAGAGCGTCCGTATGGCTCGCAGGTGTCACAGCGATCATGGGAGATCATTGAGCTCATAGGGCTGACAAGGCTCGTAGGGCCCGTGCGGCTCACAAGGCTCCGAGAAGGTCATGTGGCTCATAGGGCTCCGTGCAGGGCCCGTAGGACTCATGGGGATTTGGGCGCATTTGGGTCGTATGGCATCCCGGGCTTATATGGCTCATCGTGGGGGTCCGTTGGATTATAGGGTTCATAGGGCGTTGGGCGCACATGGCTCATGCGGCCTTGGGCGCATACGGCCCATAGAGTTCATGTGGCTCATAGGGCTCGCAAGGCTCATGGGGCCGTGGGCGCTTATGGCTCATAGAGTTCATGTGGATCAGATTGCTTCTAGGGCTCGTAGGTGTCAATGGGGTTCATGGGAGCTCGCGGTGCTCATGGGGCCCATAATGCTCACAGGGCCCAGGGGGCTTCAGCGCATATGACTCACAGGGCTTGTGGGGCTCATGGGGCTCACAGGGGTCGCAGGGCTTGGGGCTCATGGGGGCCATGGTTCTTGTAGGGCTCATGGGTCGCATAGGCTCATAACGCTCAGGGCTTCGGGAGCATCAGGGCTCATAAGGCTCAAAGGGCTTATGGGGCTCATGCGGCTCACAGGGTTCGTGTGGCTCATAGAGCTCATGGGGAGCCATAGTTCTTCCAAGGCTCGCAGGTGTCATAGGGTTCGTGGGACTTATAAGGCTCGTAGGGCTAAGAGGCCTCGCAGGGCTCCGGGGGGCTCGTAGAGCATCGTGGGGCTCACAGGGCTCGTAGGGATCATGGGGGTCATTGGCACGTAGGGCTCATGGGGGTCATAGGGTTCAGAGCACCCGTGGGGCCTTCCAGACCGATCGTTAAGAAGTCAACGAATCTCGCGTCCAGTCTGCGACGCCTCCACCCGAAGACGCCGCCGCCCATCCGCCCGCCGCCCCGACCTCCTTTTGCCGGCCGTTTTGGAGCTTATGGGGGGCGTCTTGGGAGTCTCTTGGGTGCCTTTGGGGGCCTCTGGAGGGCCTCGTGGGGCCTCATGGGTGCCTCATGGGGGCCTCTTGGGGCCTTTGGGTGGCCTCTTGGGGGCCTCTTCGGGCATCTTGGGGGTCTCTTGGGTGCCTTTGGGGGCCTCTTGGGGCCTCCTCTTGGGGGCCTCGTGCGTGGGGCCTCATGGACGCCTCTCGGGGCGGAAGACTGAAATTTTCGGTTCGTGCTCCCCCTCTTGGGTGCCTTTTGGGGCCCTCTTGGGCCATCTTGGGCGCCTATTGGGCCGTCTTGGGACGGTCTTGGGGGCGTATTGTGCCGTCTGGGGGCGATTTTGGAAGCCTCGTGAGCTGTCTCAGAGCGTATGAAGGTCCAAAAGGCGAGAACCGCCAAAAATATTGAAACCATAAGGAAGATTCATGGTTGTTGCCTCTCGGGGCCCTCGTGGGAAGGCTCTTGGGGCCTCTTGCAGGCATCTTGGGCCATCTTGGGACCATCTTGGCGGTTCGGACCGATCATCCGGCGATTCTGGGCCCTCCTGGGCCGTCTTGGTGGCCTGCTGTGGGGCCCACCCAGGTGGTCGAAGAAGGCCTGGAGTGGCACCCGGAACTCGAAAAATTGATATGCGGCGATGAAAGCGCCCCGGGGGGAATTTGTGTACGAGCGAGGGTCCGGGTGGGGTGTCCAGGGGGGTCCGAAGAGGTAGGATGCATTGATATATATATATATATATATATATATATATATATATATATACATATATATATATATACACAAGACTGCATTGGCGCTTCGCGCCATGCGCCTTGTTCCGGACGCTTCCCTGGCAAAGCAATAAATCATCGCTTTCTTCAGCAGGGATGACCTCGAGGCCTGGACGGGCGACCCGCCCATTTTTCCGATATCCCGGGTGCTTGCTGACACCGCTTTCGGACGATGCAGTGGCACGCTTGTGCGCAGGAGTGGGGGAATCATGCTGATGTTTTCGCGCGCGAAGGCCATTTGAGGAAGTACGGAGCGTTCCCATGACACGCCGAAGAAGTCACAGTAGCTCCGAACACATCGATTTTTGATCGCTTCCCGAATGCCTGGAAGGCTCCAGGCACTCAGGAAATCTTCGATCGTCGAATTTCGAATCTAGATCCATTGCCTGTCTCTCTCGATCGGGTAGCTACTGAAACCTCGAGCCTCAAACGTGGAACCAAGATCGTCGGGTCGGCTTGATGTATTTCGTAGGAGAACGCCGTCTGGTCGTTTTTGGTCCTCTTTTGGGCCGTCCTGGGGCACTCTTGGGCCGTCCTGGGGGCTTATTGGGCCGCCTTGGGGAGCTGGGGTCCTCCAGAAGTCTTCTGAAGCCATCTAGGGCCCTCTTGCGGGCCTCCAGTGGCGTTCTTGGAGGTATCTCATGGCTTTCGTGGGTCTCTCTTGGGAGCCTTCTGGGGGCATCTTGGGCTTCTTGTGGGCAGTCTCGGGGCTCTCTGGGGCAGTCTTGGGGCCCCCTTGGGCCGCCTTCAACCCCTCTAGGGTGCCTCCCGGGCCGTCTTGGGGCGAGCCGTCTTGGACGCTGCGAAGACCCAAAAAGCGGATATGCACAACCAAATTATTTCCTGAGGGAATGTGACGATTTTGGCTTCTTCGGGGCTCTCTTAACGGCCTCTTGGGGTGTCTTGGGGGCCTCTTGGGCCGTCTTCAGACCATCGAGGTTCCTCTTGGAGCGCTCTTGCGCTGTCTTGGGTCTCTCTTGCGCCTCTCCGACGACCCCTCTAATCGCCTTCAGTCGGCTGGCAAGGCCCAGCGAGGCGCCCTGGGAGGCCCGGAAGGGCCACCGAACCTTTTGCAAGGGCGTCCAGGGGGCCGCCGAAACGTCCGAAAGAGCGTCCGGAGCGTCCCTGGGGGAAGGATCCGGTTTAGGGGGGGGGGTCCGGGGGGGGGGTCCGGGTAATAAAAATATAAGAGTAGGAATATATATATATATATATATATATACTTTTATATATATATTATATATATATATATTATATATATATATATATACTCATACGCACCTCTCCGAGGGAGTAGAGCTCAGAGCCGATTTGAAGGCGGGGCGGCGCGATTTCTGGCCGTTTCGCTAGGGACATCCTCGAAATTCTGAAAATCGGTGGCACCCCTCACGCAGATCGTGACGTCAGGGTCCAAAAACACATGGGAATTTCAACATTCTAACATAAAACCTTCAAAAACACATTGTAATTTCAATGATTTTGACCCCGATTCTCAGAGAATGGCGATTTCGCCTGAGACATCCTCCCAAAATCGAGCCCCGACGTACCTTCTGGTACCCCAGACCCCGCCTCGGAGCCTCTTGGGAGCCTCCTGGAACCTCCTGGGGCCTCCTGGGGCTTTCTGTACCTTCTGGTACCCCAGACCCCGCCTCGGAGCCTCCTGGGGGTCTCCTGGAACCTCCTGGGGCCTCCTGCGGCCTCCTGGAGCCTCTTGGGGCCTCCTGGAGCCTCCTGGGGTCTTCAGGGGCCTCCTGAGGCCGCCTGGGGCCTCCTGGGGCCTCCTGGGGCCTCAGAATTACATGCACACACAGAGACACAAATCACACCCAACACATCACACGCTAGACAAACATAAAACACACACACACACACACACACACACACACACACACACACACACACACGCACACACACACACACACACACAACACCTGCAACGCACAGAAAACACGCACAACACAGAGCACATATCACACACACACACACACAACACTCACAATCCTGGTATCCAAGTCGGGCCTCCTGGAGCCTCTTCTGGTATCCAAGTCGGGCCTCCTGACGTTTCCTGGGGGGCCTTGGTACACACATCGCAAGGTGTGGCAACCCCACTTGCGCTCGAGTGCGACCTCGATCTTAGATTATTATGCGTTCACCTCCTGCCTCTTCCCCTTCTCTTAGGCACGCCCTGGCGGCGCCGCCCCAGCTTCCCCTTCTCCATCTCCGATCCTGCAGTCATGGTGTCTTCCTGCTTCAAACGCCCTTTCTGATTTTTGTATGAGCTTGGGCATACACGTGCCACTTGTATATACACACACCTTGTATATATAATATTAAGACAGATGGATTGATAGACGGATTGGTAGGTAGGTAGGTAGGTGTATAGTAAGATAGATAGATAGATCGATAAATATTTACATGTATGTATAGCTATACATACATATCGATCTACATATATGTATAGAATGGTACGTGCAGGCAGATAGGTCGAAAGATAGACATACATATATAGAACAGGTAGGTGTATATACATATATATATATATATATATAAAAAGACCTGCATCCGTTTGGTTTTAATATACACAGCCATTATGCACAGCGCCTTGTTTTTGATAATTCGTGCACCGTCTACGAGAAAACGGTCGATATACCTAGCGACTCATCTACCCGTCCGCGGGACAGTCATGGGGGCAACAGCGGGACAACCGCAGGACGAACACGGACGAAGTCGATTTCCTGGCGGGGGCATTCCGTTACATGTCTGTCTTGCCATGTCTTACACCGACAACGACGCCTCACCCGCAGGGTAAGAAAAAGAGGAGGAGGAGGAGGAGGCGCAGCACCAGGAGGATGACGGAGAGGAGGGCAAGAGGCCCCGCGTTTTCCTCTTGCCAAGCGTCCGGTGGGCTGGGCGGCGAGGGGCGACGGACTCGGGGGCGGCCAAGAGGGGGGTGATGACTAGGGGGGGGGGATATCATGGCGCGGGCCATGATAATTCCTCAGATTTCATGGCGCCTCTTCTTGTTTCATTTCGTCCCTGGCCCCCCCCCCCTTGGGCCGCGCACGTGCCGCCGGCCATGATTTTCACCCTCCGCCTCTTGGACGCACCCCCTCGTGGACGCCCCCGACGGACATGCCGCAGGGCGCCTTGAGCTGCTTTTGGGGACCCCAG